GAGGTGAAAATCACATTCCTATTTATGTATATAAAGTTTGTTAGGGTCATGAGGCATGGAAGAAGGATGGTGGTTGGGGAAATGACATTATTTCTTGAGTCCTTACTATGAACTAGCCAGTGCACTTGGTATATTATATACATTATCTCACATAATTGTAAAAGCTAACCCACATCACAGTGGGTATCACTGGTGGAGAAACAGGTTCAGAGGAGTTAAATTCTTGGCCCAATGTCACTAACTAGTAACTTGGGATTTGAACAAAAATTTGCTAGGGCCTATAATCCATTCTTTGTTTTTTTTTTTTTTTTTTTTTTTTTTTTTATATTACATTTTCAGTTTAAAATAATTTAAACCTGTATAATGCATTTGATTTCTAGTAAACTTATTATTGGTAATAATTTGATAATATCTCAAAAAGGAATAACACCTAATGCCATTTTTCTCCCTCCAACTTATCACCAGGTGCAAGGATAATTGATATCCCCCAATAAAATTCCAAATCATGTCAAGATCTAAAACATGTAGAACAAAATACATGGATCCTTCCTTTTCTATCCTTTACATATAAGAAGGGTATTGCCATTGTGGTGGCCATCAGAGCTGCTTACCAAATAAGTCTGGCCCTTCATGTTGGCCTAACACTACACTGTCTTTTATCACTTGCCTTAGTCATCAACTGTAAAATGGGCAGTGATTACATATCTTTGCTGACATATTTTCTTTCTCCTTTTTCCAAGTTTATAAAAAGGTTATCTGATAGATACAGCCAACCTGGGCTTGACAATGTTCCCGGAACTACTCAAGGGAAATTACCCTTATTCCAGTGGTACAAAGAAAAGAACAGGAAGAGGATTTGCCACTTAGTAAAAGAACTCATGAGTGAAATAAATAGAGATTGTGTCCCTTTTTATGACCAGAAATCCTTACTAGGCCCTTCTCAAGCTAGAAATAAATGAGAAAAAAACTTTTCTTCCTAGGAGGCTCATTGCATTGCTGTCTATGAAGAATATGGGAAGACCAAGAGGTAGAGAGCCATCCTAAAGTAGCCAGGTGATGTGATTAGGCAGTGGCAGGGCCACTGGAAGCCAGTCCTACCAGGGAGATACTGCAGCTGCAGTACGACAGGGTGGGGGTGGGGGTGGGGTGGAGAAAAAGAAAGAGTAAAGTCGGGCAGGTTGCTCTAGAGGCATTTTGTTGTGGGAAAATCTCTAAAGGTACCATGGATTATGGCAGATCTGAGATTGAGAAATAAGATTTTCAGAATTTTTACTCTGGTTTGCTAATACAGGGAATAAAAGTAACATTTTTTTCCTCACCCATTGCAAGGTTCATAGCTGACACACCTATGACAAAAGACAGAGTAACAAGAGAAAAGCACACAAATTGATTTAATATAGGTTTTATCTAACATGGGAGCCTTCAGAAATAAAGACTCAAAGAAACAGGGAAAACTGTATACTTTTTTATGGACAGTCATACAGAAGTATGATTAGAAGACAAAAGTGTATGATCTAATGATAACAAACTGGGGGGAGTTTATCAAGGACTATTTGGCCAGATTCTTCTTGGTATCTGAGTCTTAAGAGATGAGGGCATATTTTTTCTTCCTCTGAGTATAGGGCAAACCCTTCTGGAATTAGGGTCTTATGACATACTCGAGGAAAAGATCAGCTAGGTTATATTGCTTACATCAAGGGAGGAAGAACAAGAGAAAAATCAGAGAGACCTTCCTGTTTTTGCTGTTTTCTTACTTGCCAAGGTTCCATGTTTAGGGATAGCATATCCTGAACTCTATCTCAAGCATACCTTATAACCTAAGTCGTCCATCAGTGAATGAAAAGATAAAGAAAATGTGGTACATAAACACAATGAAATGTTATTCAGCCATACACACCGAAAAATAAATAAATAAATAAATAAATGAATGAATGAATGAATGAAATCTTATCATTTGCAACAACATGAATGGAACTGGAGGACACTAGGTTAAGTGAAATAAACCAGGCACAGAAAGTAAGAAATGTTCTCACTAATATGTGGGAGCTAAAAGAATTGAAGTCATGGAGCTAGAGAGTGGATTTATTGTTACCAGAGACTCAGAAGGGAAGTAGGCAGATGAGGATAAAAGGGGTTGGTTAGTGGATAGAAAAATAAAGTTCAATAGTAGAAATAAGATCTAGAGTTAGATAGCATAATAGGATGACTATACTTAATAATTTATTATATATTTCAAAATAACTACAGGAGTGGATTTGGAATGTTCCCAAAAGAAAGAAATTATAAATGTTTGTGATAATAGATATCCCAGTTACCCCAATTTGAACATTATACATTTTATGCTTATATCAAAATGTTATATGTATACTATAAATATGGACAATTATTATGTACCCATAAAAATTAAAAATCAAAAAACAAAGAAAGAAATTTAAGACAAATAATGGTAAGAAGTGAGTTTGTGATTATTTTTATTTATTATAATAAATATTTTTTAATGACCCCATGTAGGAAACAGATGTAGTGAAGTCCTAGAGTATTTTCAAGTTATACAAATACTCCTTCTAAAGATATACAAATACTGATGACTACTCAGTCAGCAAGAAAGGCATTAAGAAGTTTGATGGAATTTGTTTTCCAAATCAAACTGCAGCCAGAAATATTAACTAGGTAATCTCAGAACCTTATCAAATCAATGTTAGTATTAAATAAATGTTAAACTTATAAAGCAAAATATACACCTTTATAAATCACTGTGTTATATATAATATGATCCATTCCCATACCTTCAATGTGTAAATATAAGAACTCAGGCCCAAAGAAGTAAGTTATCTGTACATATTTGATAGTCAATATCTCAATTTAACCATCAACCTCTCTCATAGTCTTTTCACTTTTAGTAAAATCTTTATATAAACCTTCTCTATTTGTCTCTAATATTTCTTTTTCCTATTAAATTTTACCATTCTTATAAAAACCTAAACATTCTGATTCTTTCTTCTGTGATGAATTGGACCTTTAAAAAGCTTTGTGTGGTAAGGCAATTTTAATTGCTCAACAAAATTTTAAGCAACTTCACAATGTAATCAAGTATGTTCTTTCATTCTCAATATTTATCTCCAAAGTTTTATCTTTTTAATATTTTAAAATGAATTGTGATGTTTATGTGTCTGGCTGACAGTACTGAAAATTATAGTTCTCTAGCCAGTGAAATGATAAAGCCAATGCAATGATAAAGACTATGGTGGAGCTTGATATGGGCCCCACAACCAGGTTTCTAACACTTCCTAAAGGCATTCAGCTGTGACTAGTACATGATGTCTGAACATTTCTACAGAGTCTGAATAGCATGGTGGCATACCAGGGTTATCTATTTTGTCCATAGTTAAAGTTCCTACTAGTTCGCAGTGGAGGAATTATCAAGAGCCAGACATAGGTATGCCCCTAGGTTACTTTCAACCTTCTTGGGCAATTTTTTAGACACACAAGCAGAATTTTTAAAAATGTGCTAAAAGTTAATGTGCAGATCAAATTCAGAGTAAATCAAGATCAACTTCAAGAAGAAAGCACCATTTGCTCTGTAAGTTGCTATGTGACCTGGTTTACATATAACCCTCTAGCCTCTTCTTCCCCATTCCCAGAATGTTTGACATTCAAAAATAACTGAGAATGTGTTGCATCGATTCCAGAGTCCATGTTGGTCTAAGAACTCATTATACTGCTTCATATCTCCATGTCCCTGCTCATGCTGTTCCCTCATCTGGCTGGCTCTAGACTCTGTAGAAGCTTCAAATGTTTATTCATATCTAGCTTTCTTTCCTTCTGGGCACAGAAGGAGATTTGAGTCCTCTGCAATCACTCATGGCTGGATGAGGCTATGCATCTAGTTCTGTTTGATGCATTATGGACAGAAATGATATAACGATTGAGTGTTGATTAAATGGAGATTTTAATTGACAGCTCCATACCTTCCAGCTTTCTTGAGAAAGTGTATGTTGAAATGGAAGTTCAATAAGATCAATGCAGCATGGAATCTGAACAACCACAGGATGTACCACCTCACTGGAGAATTTAACAGACCCACAGCAGATGTTGTGAGAGCAAGAAATAAACCTTATTATTATTATTTTTTTTAAGTCATTAAGACCTGGGAGTGGTTCATTGTTACAGAGTAGCCAATTCCTTCCTGGCTTTTCTGTACCTTGAAACATGTTTCAAAAATTATCTCTGTCTTCCTTTGTTGTGAAACCTCATAAGCTGAATTAGGAACCATGTGTTATGTTCTCTTTGGAATTTATTATATGTATTATACTTTTTATTTAGGGTTATATGGCAACACCTTTTCAGTCTACAAGATCCATCTGTGACCCTGAGCTCAAGAATTGGAACATATTATCAACATCAAAGTCAGTCAATGCAACACATTCACAGGGATTGATTCAGGTCTGGCCACCTGACTAAATAATTGTAAACAGCATGAATCTCAAGAATCTTTCTTAGCATTACGAGATAAAAATATTTTCATCTTATTGAATAATTTGAGGCTGAAAGGAAACAGCTCTAGAAATAAATAATGTAAGCTATTATTTTGCTGCTATAAAAAATTAACCATTTTTAAAATCAGAGGCAACACAAATGAAGTCAAACCACATTACAGAGCAAATTGTGTGCCCTAGAACATTACATGACATTCTTACAAAGCCATGCCAAAAACCAGCCACACTCTTGGATATTTCCGTTATGATTCAATAAATTTCCATTTTCTTAAGTCAATTGGGGCTTAGTTTTCCTATTATAATACTGCTATTAGAGAATTTAAGATGCAGTTTATTATGTATCTGGATACCTATATCACTCTCTGAACAGTAAGTTTCTTGGGACCAGAGTCTCTGTCATATTTGTTTTGCAGAACTGATACTTGCTTGAAACAGCCAATGTTTAATGAATTCTTATTTAATTTAAATGAATAAAACAGGGGATATAGAATGTTTGAGGAATACCAGGAGATCTTGGGCTCTCCTGGGGTCAGCAGGCTGTCAGAAGCAGAAACATTCTACCAAGGTCAGAAAAAAGAGGAATGCTGAAAGCAAACATCACAGATATCCTAACATTGCTTGGGGCCATTTTAATGTGTTAGCAGAAACTGGAGTTGTGGCACCATTTTTAGACTGTTTAAAAATATTGGAATGGCTTTGCTAAAATTCTGCCACTTCATGTTTGAAGAGGCCACCTCAGGTCTTAAAGAACCATGGCTTTCCAGCAGAACATGACAGGAAGTAGAAATAAGAGTAAGATTATGTTAAAAGAGTAGCGACAACAACATCAGAATTGTTTTCTCTGAGACAACAAGACAAAAATTAGGACATATTCTATATTTAAAAAAAAAAATCTTAAAATGCTATTCAGCAGGCAATGCTTCGATATCATCTCTATGCTCAGATGTTTCTCACAATGAAGCTAATCCCTGTTGAGAGCTTGGTAAAACACTGTGACTGATGCTCTCTCCTTACCTGTCTCCATAGGGACAGGGCTCTTTGGAGCATGACGGAATACATCCACCCATTCTCAACCTGAGTCAGTGTCACTTTTCTCTTCTTGACCTTTTTCAGGAACTGCAGGGGCATCATTCTTGACTGACACTGATGCTGTCAGGCACCTTGTTCCCAAGGACAATATCCAGTGCTCTTTGGCTGTGACTAATGCTGAGGGCTTTCTTCTAACAGAAAAAAACAAACAAACAAACAAACAAAAAAAAAAACCAAAAACTGCTATGAAGAAAAATGCTGCCAATTACTGTAGTGGAATAAATCGTGTTGGTATAATGCCAACTGATATACTTCTGCTCAATGGCATTCTTCTCACTTTCTGTCAGAGTTTTTTTTGCTTCCATTAGATAATCATTGCATTTCAGTCCTTAAATTTTCTTGTTTGGATCTTTTATGTCTTCCTCAAAATATAAGAATTATTTACTGAACTTTCATTGGCCATTTATCAAACTACAGAGTGTCCCAAAAGTCTCTGTACAAAGGAAAAATTTTATAATGAATATTTTATAAATAAAAGTGCATTTAGCTACAATTTTCTATTTTCCCTACGTATGGTGACTTTTGGGACATCCTGTATGTTACAACCAGGCACTTGCTAATTTACACTATTTCTCAAAGTATGGTCCCCAGAGCTTAAACGTCATAGTTATCTGTATCAGCTGTTTAAAAATGCAAATATGTGGGCCTCACAAAAATCACTGTACTGGGTTAACCAGTAACCCAGATGATTCTTTAAAGAGTCAACAAAATTTGAGAACTACTAATTTATTGTCTCCTCTATATCAGGCACTGTGCTGGGCATCAGGAAGATAAAGTCTTTCTTTAATAGAAAGACTTTCTTTAAAAAATAGACATGAAAAGGGTGTGTGCTTCCATAACGTGTATGATGCACACCACCGGGGGATTGGACACATTGGGGGGAGGGAGGGAGGCAGGGGCAATATTTGTAACCCTAACAATATTTGTACCTCCATAATATGATGAAATAAAAAAAAAATTGACATGAGACTATTAACCATTAGCAGTATCCTTCTTGCAAAATGCTATGAAGATCAAAGCAATAAGGATTAGGTATACTCAGTCTTTGTTTTAGTATCTGTAATAGAGCAGATATTAAATAAAATATTAATTTTTATTGCTCAGAATTGGAATCTATGTTTTAGGACCTTAGCCTACTGATCACTTACTTATAAGTAGCTTCTTTAGATTTTATGTTTTGTCAATGTTATTTGCTATCATTAATACTTCATAATATTTGGTATATTAATTTGAATTTGATTAGAATTTTTAAAATAAAGATAACTTATGCATGCCTTTCCATGACTTTCTTCAGTCTAAGGACATTTCCCTTACTTTCTTAAACCATCCTGTAAACATTTTTTTACTAAGTGTCTAAATTGTGTAAATCAACATACAAGGAGCTTGAATTAGTAACTAGTAAAAGTTCTTGTTCCCCGTTAAGTTCTAAAGATATGTTAAAATCACATGAAATAATTAAAGAACTCATTCATACCAAAAAAAAAAAACAAAACAAAAAAACCCACACATAAAACTTCAGAAGTCCTACAATTAAGTTTTCAGCCTGAGAAATATGAGCTACAGCTAAAAAAAGACTTTTTAGTAGTTTTCAATTCATTCACGTTCTTCATATACTATTTCAGGTACTAGGAAAGCTGGAGATTTTACTTCTCATAAGGAGTTGTGCAAGAAGGAACTGAGCAATGCTGTATTATGGAAAAGAAAAGTTGCTGAAACAGGGATTTCTTTTTTAATTTAAAAATTTTATCAATTATACATTTTATTCTTAAAATGACAAAAACTGATTGTAAACTCATCACTGACTGAAAAAACATTTCTTAAGAAATTTATAAATGTCCATACATTTTTGAGACATGGAGATTTACTGTAAAAACTGATACAACTAAACAGTTAAAGTCACCAAAAGAAAAAAAAAACTGCATGAATAACTTGTTATATCTAATTTATTTAAGAACAAATCAAAGGATTTGATGGCTTTCATTTCTTTTAGTAAGGCTCTGGTGAAAATGAGGTCACGACTATAAAACAAAGCTCCTGAGAATATAACCTGGATGAACTCTTATAAATGATAGACACTAATGTTGACATGCAGGTCTTTTTAAGAGAGTGGATGGCCTGTTGTTAAATAAGAATGGAAAACCAACAACACAACAACCACATAATAGGCTTTTACCTTAGTGTATTGTAGGCATCAACAGTACATGAGCATATGCTAAAAAAACATTCTTAGAACTTTCCAGTGGAAGCTGCAGAGATTTATGCAGTTTTGTGTTAGCACATTTGACACTCTTAAACACACTAGAAGTATAAAGCATTTGCTTACAGAGATTCTTTTACCTTTTATAAGTACATTGGTTCCAGAAATACATCTGTGAAATAGACAGATTTCCTGGTGAAACAGCATGATTGGCAGGACAACTCTGTAAACGGTCAAGGTATGGCCTTACCATGTCTTCTTGAATCCATAGGAAAGCCCTTAGTAGTAGCACACAGAAACTGATTTTGTCATTTCAAAAGTCTTTTGCTTTTGTTCTTTCTCATATGTTCTATATTTATATGAATGTATGTATATCTATACATACACACGAACACACATATACATACAAGTGAAAGACAAACGTTAGACTGATTCCACTGAATATCCATTGATCAATATCCTTTGTGTCCCAGATGTCATAAATTGAATAAAACTACATGTTACAAGAAAGTGTGAATGGTTTATAATATATCATCTCCTTAAAATTAGAAGCATAAAATGTCTTTAAATTCTAAAGGATTTAAGCTCCTTTATCTACTTTACCCCATGAACTTACCTGAGATTCAGATATTATGTAAAACCAAAACAAAACATGGTGAGCATCCAACCTGTAACTCAAGAAATTTCTCCTTTCATTCTGCCCTTGAGCTGCTCCACACCCGTTAACTACTATTAGACTCCTAACAGCAGGCTTTGTGTTTTCTTGGGTATGTGCACCCACACTAGGAAAATCTTTAATAACTTTGAATTTCTGCTAGAAGAAAATTTGCTAATTTCCCTTTGATTCCAGCTATGTATAAACAACAATTTATATGATATTCTTGGGTTTACCATGCTGTCGTTTTCTCCTGCAAAGTCTAGGGAGAGATTGAAAAGGGGATTTTCATAGCAATTTTGTTCAGTCATAACTTATGTTTAAACCTGTATCTATGAAATAATATGGTGAAGTCAAGAAAGGAAGGAAGAATTACTTTAAAATATAAACAGTCTCATTCTCTTTATGCCAGATTGAATTAATTGTGGAATTAGGAAAAACAATGAATTGATTGCAAGAATTAAATTATTAGAATGAGTATGATTCTTGAAGATGAAGATTTCCCACTAGGACAAACAGTATTTACCCCTAAAGGGTAAATATTGCTACTGACTGTAGCAGGATTGCTGGATCAAATGGCAGGTCTACTTTTAGTTCTTTGAGGAATCTCCATACTATTTTCCACAGAGGTTGTACTAGTTTGTAGTCCCACCAACGATATGTAAGTGTTCCTTTCTCTCTGCATCCACACCATCATCTGTCGTTTTGGGACTTCTTGACAAAAGTCATACTCACTAGGGTTAGGTAATATCTCATTGTCAGTTTGATTTGCATTTCCCTGATGATTAGTGAAGAGCATTTTTCCATACGTTTATTGGCCATTAGTCTATCTTTTTTTAAAAAAGCTTCTGTTCATATATTTGCCATTTTAATGGGGTTCTTTGGTTTTTTTCTTCCTAATTTGCTTGAGTTCTTGGTATATTCTGGTTATTAGCCCTTTATTGGATATATAGCATGCAAATATTTTCTCCCATTCTGTAGGCTGTCTATTTGCTCTGTTGATTGTTTCCTTGGCTATACAGAGGCTTTTAATTTAATCAAGTCCCATGTACTTATTTTTATTGTTGTTAGATTGCCATTGGGGTCTTCTTCATAAATTATATGCCTAGGCTAATATCTAGAAGAGTTTTTCCAAAATTTTCTTCTAAAATTCTTATGGTGTCATGCCTTAATTCAATTATCCATTTTGAATTAATTTTAGTTAGTGGTGAGAGTTATATATCCTGTTTCAGTATTCTACATCTGGCTATCAAATTTTCCCAGCACCATTTATTGTAGAGGGATTCTTTTCCTCATTGTATATTGTTATCTGCTTTTTCAAAGATTACATGCAATATGTGAATGGTTTTATAACTGTGTTTTCTATTCTGTTCCATTGGTCTATCGTCTGTTCTTGTGCCAGTGCAAGCTGTTTGGGTTACAATAGCTTTGTAGTATAGCTTAAAGTCTAGTAACATGATGCCTCCAGATTTGTCCCTTTTGCTTAATTAAGGTTGTTTTGGCTTTTCAGGCTCTTTTCAGGTTCCAAACAAAGCATAAAATTAGATTTTTTAGAACTGTGAAAAATGACATTGGTATTTTGATGGGGATTGCATTGAATCTATAGATCATTTTGAGAAGTATGAATATTTTAACAATGTTGATTTTGATGAACTATAAGCGTAATATGTTTTTTCCATTTGTTTATATAATCTGCAATTTCCTTCCTCAGTGATTCATAGTTCTCTTTATAGAGATCTTTCACCTCCTTGGTTAAATATATTCATAGGTATTGTATTTTCTTTGTAGCTGTTGGGAAGAGTATTAAATCTTTAATTTGATTCTCAGCTTGACTGTCATTGGTGTATAGGAATGCTATAAATTTGTGTACATTAATTTTGTAACCTGAGATGTGGCTAAATTTGTTCATCAATTCCAGGAGTCTCTTTGGAGTTTTCTGGGTATTAGATCATATCATAAGGAAGGAGTGAAAGTTTGACCTCCTCTTTCCCCATTTGGATACCCTTAATTTCCATTTCTTTCCTGATTGCTCTGGCTAGGACTTCCAGTGCTACATTGAACAGAGTTGTTGATAGTGGGCATCCTTGTCTTTTTACAATTCTATGTGGAAATGCTTTCAACCTTTCTCCATTCAATATGATGTTGGCTGTAGGTTTGTCATATATGACCTTTATAATTTTGAGAGAA